CAATTTTAATTTATTAAATAATAATTATTAATTATTTTTAATAATTATATTAAAATAAAAATTTAATAATTTTTAGTGACTTTAACAAAAATTATATTATAGTGCCATAACCATTGCTTCTTGGGTTGTATAAAGACAGATTTTATTACCGCCATTACCATTCTTCTTCATTTTTCCTAGTTGATGCGGTGAGAAAAAATTTACCCTGTAACTGTGTCACGCCCCAAAACCCGAATCCGGAGACGCGGCAGACGCCGTACACTCGTGAGACGGATCCCACAAGTGCACAAGGCTCGGAATTTATCATATCACACTCTGATACCACCAAAATCTGAAGATCAAATTATAAAATTCTCTCTGATATCATAAAATCTCCAAATACAAGATCATGATTTACTTCTAAAATTTATATCAATCTCGAAATGGCTAGCTTTCTAACTCGTCACTTCCCGTGGTTTCCCCGTCCTCGGTTTCACTTCCTGAAATGATGGACAAGGAAAACTATGAGATAAACTCAGTAAGTAAATATGAATTGCCCTTAATTAAACTTATAGCATGCCAACATGTGCAATCACGCAAAACGGATACAGTACGAGAACAAAATAGACGTCTCCTCTATAGGTCACGACCAGTGTTATAAACCTCCCACTGGCAGGCACACAATTTGCTGGTGTATAACCCCCACTAGCAGGGTTGAACGAACCAGCTCTTTCACTAACATGTCGACATGTGCTAGCGTTTATAACCTCCCCCACTAGCAGGGTCACTAATAACATGACCACATCGGAGACAAAACAGGTAGAAGTTAACAGGAAAATCACAATTCACACTCACTTTCAGATCATCAGGACAATCACTTAAATTTCAAGTAGGCATGCTCAATTTAATGAAAAGCATAAAACATTTCACTTCAAATCAGTCATGCTTGTGTAAAACGGGTTTAGTCCCGCTATCACTTCAAAAACAAATCAAAACATGCTTTTAAAAACAGTATAGGCATTACCATAAATTTACTTACCTCACTCGCATAAACTGAAGATTCAATCTCAATGCTAACTGACAGAACGATCGAAAACCTAATCAAAATATTTCAAGAATTAATACCACTATCACAAATTCACACTAAAATCATCATTAGGATCACTCCTAATCACAATGCTATTTCCATAAATCTCCACATAATCAAATATCTCCAAATCATTCTCATATCACAAACTAATCATTTAAATCCTCGTTAATTGTTGGCCCTCGGGGTGTGAACAGTACCGGTGAACAGTAACCCCGACGTGAACAGAAATTCCAACTTCCAAAATTGGCCAAAACACTAACTAATTCATGGTATTTTCTCCAAAATCACACAACAATCAATTAACACTCAATCACATAAATCCTACTTCAATTAAGCTAAATCATGGTCCTAAAGCTATCAAATTTTCTCCCCTATTTTTCTGTCAAATTCGGACAACACAGCCAGCAAACTAAATGGCTAATTTAAGCCTTAAAAGGGCTGTCACATACCATAATTTAGCAAGCAAAACCGAGCTGCAGTTTGGGAGAGAAGCCG